AACTAGTGTAAGTCCCAGACTATCCATTAGCCCATCGAGAGTTTGAGCAAGTTCAAAATTGACGCACTAAAAGCTGGAACATATAATGTAATATTCAGGAATTTTTAATCACATCATTCAAATCTAAGACGAATTCGCTCGAATTTCGTCTTAGATTTGAACACTAGTCAATTGATTACGACAATTACCTACTCTTTTTAAATATATCACCAACTATAATTAAGTGAGAATCACAATTAAAAAGTTAATTAGTATTGGTAACGTATCTGTTCAATGAATATGTAATTTTATATCGAAAGCAGTAATCAAATGATTAAAAATAATGAATAATATGCTCAACTACGAGTATACATTGTTTTTCATAATCAAATTGAAGCTGAAAATTATTACACTTAAGTCTTAAGTGATTTTATTTGAAACTACCGACCTATTAACAACTTATTCTCTAGTCTGCGAAGTACCAAAACGTATTGTTAACAGTTTGTACTTATAAGTTTTGGCTTCAATGTTAAATATTATTTCCAGACCATATTTGATGAAGCCTGAATTTTCAATACCTCGATCTGATTTCTCAATAACTTTAAGAGTTTTACAAGTATTGAATGGTCTTACAATACTCGAACGTCCGACATTTCCTAAGCGGCTTTATTCTACGTTTCCATGTATCTGATATAGGAAGGCTTATTTTAAGACCTTCCTAGGACTTTTATATCAAGGAACAAGTTCTACTGATTTCTCTTTTATTCAAGTAAGGTTCGATAGAAGAATAAAATTACAATCGCTAGTTTTTAATTCACAAATAATAAAGAGTTACTTTTCACTTTTCATTTCACATTAAATTTACATAATTATATTCTTATTTTCATGAATACGAGCTGTCGGGCGAAAACTTCGTAGTCCAAATTTGTACTACCTGTTACGAGATTTGAACATCACAAAATAAATAAAAAAAACGTAGCCTATCCATGTCAGCTACCTGCCAATAAAAATCCCGACGAAATCGGCCCAACCGTTTCGGAGGCTGTCCGGGACAAACGCTACTTGCGGACAGATACACAGACAGATAGGCAGAAAGACAGACAGACAAAAAAATTTTAAAATTCTATTTTCGTTATCAGCAAAGCAAATACATCATCTTCCCGAAAACTGGTATTTTTCTTTGGATTTCACAAATTTTATTATATGATATAGATTTTAATTTATTACATTGTATTTAGAAATTTTTCCAGTACAATGTGCTTTAAGTAATCATGCCATTCAGGTGGTTTTCGAGTTGTTCGCCTTCGAGACGGTTAAATAAAAAATACTCGAGGTCAAAAGGTTCACCGTGTATAATAGCATTATTCATATAAAAGCCTTTATGAGGGATATTAATGGTCAAAGAGTAGCCATTGTATAGACATTATTACAGACAATACACCTTAATGTGATTTTGACATGTGACGTGATCTTGCCTACATCTAGTCTAACATTAACCTTAGCGCTAAGAAGCTTCATTGTGAACGTGAAACCGAATATCCTTTACTCACCTTACTCGAAGTAAATATTGAAAATGTTCCAACTTTGTGAAAAACAAGAAAGCTCTATATTGTACAGTATCACATATCTGAGAGTTTTGATTGAGACGAAGTAGACTCATTATAATTTAATTATTAAAATTAGGGACACATAAAACGGATTTTCTCTTTAATTTAGAATCCACTGTTGGGCGTGATCCTTACTGTTCTGCTGCTTCCTTAATATTGACTAGATTGTCCATCTTGAGTAAGGACTACCACATTCAGTCACGTATATATGTACATACGTATATACATACGTGCTTATATTATAATTCGTTAATATAGTTTTCAGTAGCAGAGCCCTCTTTAACATCTTCGCACGAATGGGTCGGCTCGCCCGGTGCAACACCACGACCGCACAGAAGACAGATGTGAAGTGGAAGCAATTCCGTGTTTCGTCCGATGAGTTTGGAGCCGGGGGCCTAAATTTAGTCTCTTTTCATTTCCACCCGTTCTTAACAGGAAGGGATGGAAACGAAAAGTGAATTTGACGGCGGAGAAGACAGCTTGGAAGGGAAATATCCTCTTTATGTGCGTCTCCTCTTCCGTCTATTAAGGGTAGGTAACGCATCTGCAATAGCGGATATCTATGGGCAGCGGTCGCTCGCCGTTACGAGGAATACAGGTGGCCGCTTGCTCGTTTGCCACCTTATAATACAAAAAAACATACACATAATAACAATGAAGTAGTGAGAATTTATGTAAATGGTTACAAGGGTAAAGAAACCGGAAGGAATGAATTGTTTGTGTGATGAATACACTCCGCTTTGAAGTATGACGGCTGAAATACGAAATTGTAGGACATACTGTGCCTACCTTACGCAAAATAAGGGTATTGAAATTAATTTAAGCATATTGAATATCTTCGAAATATGCATTGCTTAAGTTCCCAGTTTTGTTCAGTTCTTTCCCACTTACCGAGGTTTAATGAAAACGAATTATTTACCTTTAGAAAGGAGGTCGGAGAAGTTGAAATGAGATCGCTTTAATTTTTATTTGCACTGCAGTACGCTGAAAATAATCTTTTCAAAAAGCAGCACGGTAACGTTTAATACAGTTCTATTTATTTCTTCGTAACACTTTTCGGCGACTTATTTTTAACGAAAGATTATTTTTTGTAAGACAGTTTACAAAAATATACTATAAACAAGAACTTCTTTAAGAAATATTAAATAGTAAAGATCGTATTTTTTTTTTCTTCAATGATAAATAATTTAAAATGTCATTTTGTCGACTCTAGCATAGTTATTAAAGCATACTAATGTAAAACATGTGGCCATCCAGCCGACAGACATAGAAATCGGTAATCACGTGCCAGGGAGATTAAGTCGATTTCAAAACAAGGGTGAAATGGGATTGCGAACTCGACGTAGTAACTGCGGATTTGCGTCAACTTTAAAAACTGGAATACTTAGAAATTACATCCGGGCCATAAAGTTTTCTTTAATATTACTTTTTGCGATACTTAGCTTGATTGATATATAGTACAGAATAAACTACAGATAATTAGCTTTGTAAAGAATAAGTAAACTAAAAAGTACCGGGTTTAAGAAATAATAAATTAATGACATCTGAGTTCTGATAAAAGTTTTAAATCACCAGCAATTAATGAAATTCTAATCAAAATTTATTAAACTTGTATTCTTAAAAAATAATATTCAAATAACAATTTGCATACTTCAGAACCAGTTCTTTTATGTTGAATAAAAATGCCTTTGCTTTCGCTACGGCACTTCTAGCGCCAGATGACAAGCAATTTTATTAACACTACTCGTGCAATATTTTCCATTTCACTTGTGAGCATATAATAAAATTTAATTTCCAACTGGCGCTTTGAAATACTAAACCTTGGATGCTTGATGCAATGAATAAGGTTTATCGCACATAGAAGCGAAAGCTAACCAGTACCTTAGCCGATGCAAATCTAATTTAAATGTGATTTTTTGAATTTGTTCCAGTGAACCATTTAGCAGTTTAGCAAACAACAAAAATCTAACTATGTACACTAGTCCCACTTTAATGTTTAAGAGTTATACTCTTCACTTCTTGCTTCCACTGTGCTACATACCTTATACGGATTACGAAAAGTTTATTCAGGGAAGAACAAACAATGCTTCACAGTTAGAGTTTGAACTAATATTTAAATTCCTTTTAAATTCAGTATGAAACTACTGAACTCTGATAGACAAAGGTTTGAATTCCGCAAAAAAATGCACACTTACCGCTTCCATCTTCCGTCGTGTCGTTCTATGATTGCAAATTAAAAAATAAGAAGGCTCTTTGCCTTGTTTATTACCATCGTCTTCTATAGCTTTCCCTTACTTTTGACCTATTTGAAAGATGGCTTACTTTTTTTTTAAACACTTCGTTGTAATATTATTATAGATTATTTTTCTAAATATCAATGTCCAATTTACTTACCTTACTTGTAGTCTATATAACCAATAAGTTTGTATTTGTAATTATATAATACTTATAGGTCAGCTGCAACCCGAGCGACGTCAGGTATCAGGTATAATAGTAAAAATTACATCATTTTTGGAATTTATAGCTGGAACAAAGAACAATATGTAAAAAGTTATATGTATTGAACTGACAGACCACAAAACCGATTATCCGTATAAAAAAGAAAGAGATTAGTGACTATTATTATGAGGGAAATATAAAAAATATCACAAAGGCCATTTTGTTTGGTATAAGACTCCTTTGCCACTGAACAATAAGTAGCCCTCCTCTCTATTATACCATTCAGTGAGCTCTAGTGAAAATGGTGCATACTTCAATGGCATAAATAGCACTCGCTCGGCAATTAGCGCCAGTGGAAAAGCAGTCTATGGTGATGTGTTGCAGTTGGAATGTTTTCGTTTGCCGCGCTCCATTTTTTTGTAACTTGATATCGCGCAAAACAACTTATGCAATTACAAAGTGTTTACTGTAAATGTACAAATTGATACGTTATCATTATTTAATGATGTATTGATTATACAGCATTCTTTGTGTCGTATTTTTTCGCAATAGTACGTCCTCAATAAACTCCACGTTAACTGTGTTTTCATTGCCACAAAAAAAAGGAAATATGTATTGTTTAAAGTCATTGTTCATAGTAAGCGGTTGGTTATACTAAAGTTAATTTCACGCCTGTTTTTAAACAGTAAAAATTACGCTCTTGTGCGCCATCTAACGTGGAATAGCGATAATTTTATGATGTCACCTCTTACCGCTTGACAATGGAAAAGTGTTGTTTAGTGTGAGAATTTTTAAATGCGCCATCTAGTATCACGTAGTGAAACTAAATATTTCATTATCTTTAGTAACCCTTTTTTTTGATCTTATTTATCCTTAAATCCGTATACTTTTCTGTAGCCTCATAAATACCATGGGGATAACTTTTATAATTAAAATAGAAAATAAACCAGAGGTAAAAAAATAAAACAACCCATATTGGAATCGTGTATTTATTAAAATTTTAATGCGTCCTATTTATCAGAATGTGCGCTTTTTATTCTCAATCTACACCATCAAGAGAAACTGACAACTGTTTTCTAAAGACACGAAGTGACGACAGAACACACAATCCTATTCTTAAACCAAACATTACATTAATTTTAATTTTAGTTTATACCGAATATTTAAATTATAAAGTTTTGTTAAAATATAAAGAATTTTTATATAATAATACTCAAAACCAAATGAGCATCAAAGAGAAAATGCTATAATTTATTATTTAAATGTCACCTTTGACACCTTGACTATTTTGTTAAAGAGATATAATTAGAAACTACGTTAATTTATAATATACACTTATCACCAAAACTGAATAAAATTGTCAGCTTTAAACTTTAAAGGTTTTTTATATTTGCAATTTCTATTTTTTAAATATTCAGCTGAATTATCGGAGATTCCGTGCAATAGAACTAGAAATAACAAAAAAAAAACTTAATGTTACAATTAAAAAACGAAAAACATTGGAATATCCGCGTCCATACTTTAAACATTTAAAAGTATTTTGTTCCATAACTGAGATTGCAATGAGATTTGTACTCATGGCATCTCACACATTCTCATTGAAAGAACAGAGACAGCATGCGTCATACAAATGCCACTACAAATGAAACCCAGAGTAAAGTAAACACGTTTAAAATAAAATGGACATAATGTTAGAAAATAAGCAAAAATAAAACATGATCATATTAACATAATTTTGATATTTAAGAGATTGATGTTTTATTTATTTCTTTAAATAGAATAAGCATTTTGTATTGTACAAGTCCCAAGAAATCATCAATCCTATTAACTTATTTACAGAAAAACAATTATTTTGATATAAAACGTATATTATTTTATTAAAAAAAATTGTATATAAAAATTGTTTAAACTCATGATGTTAACTATCGAAATTTCGATACAAATAAATTCATTGCTATGTAGAGACGATGCAACTAAGTTACAATTACAATTACCACGTCTTCAATGTAACTCCTAATGAGAATTAGGATTTAAGTTATAAAATTTTAAGTACGTCTGAATAAGAATACACAATAAGGTAACTTGTTATGAAGCATATAAAATATATCTATACTAATATTATAAAGAGGAAAACTTTGTATTTTTGTATGTATTGAAATAACTCAAAAACTACTGGGCTGATTTTAATTTTTTTCACCATTAGAAAGGTAATTTTATTTAATAAAAATATATCTGATAACATCCATAATGATAGAAAGTGTTACTTAAATATTTATATAGTAAATGTAAATAACAATTGATTTTTTTTACCAACTTATCTCCAATATTGTAAATTTAAATTATAGAAAACCGCATAAAACAGTTTATGAATGGTCTAGATAATAATCAATTGATTTTTTTAAATATTCTTACATGCAATGTATTTTTTACAATAGTTCATATGGCTTGATTATTACGTTAACAGCAAAATATTTAGGTTTAATTAAAAAATATTGCTTCCGTATCTTACAAAAGCTTATATCGTATACTCGTGTAAGAAATATATATAAATATCTTGAATACATTGAAATAAATTGATATAATTATATTAAAAATATAACAATATACTTATGGATGACATAAACGAAAGTTGAATATAATGAATCAACAAAACTCAATATATTATTTCTTGTATAAATATTATTAATGATATATTTGAATTAACCATGAATATAAAAATATTGCCGTGCGACTTCAATCGCCTTTTATTACATCATCAAATGTGCGTAAAAAAGTAGTTTCATATTTTTCCGCAATATTGCAAAGGTTTTTATATTTCTGGTCAAGATATAAATACAGTGGCAATAATTGTTTTATTATAACATATGTTACGTAACTATATAAAAAAAATTACAAAACATTTAACGGACATAAAAACAAAACCGGAAATGTTCAAACATACGTTAAATTTTATTTTTTTTATATAACGGTAAAAATTCATTGAGAAAATTTCTTAGAAATATTCGTAACAAGGTTTTCATCCAAAAAAGTCATTAAAAATGCATCCCGCTTTAGTTATTAAAAAAAATTAATCGAGTTTTAAAGTATTTTGTCTGAGAGCGCGAATCGCGTAGACGTAAACTAAAAAAATAATCTCTTAACCTAATTCTTACAATCACATTGGTTTTTATGTTTTTTCAGTCTCGCTTTCCTCCTTCACTGAATTAACCTCTTGTTCTTGTGCTTTATCGCTGTTTTCATCGGCTTCTTCGATAGACGCATGTTCTTTTTTGGGATGGACATCTGTCCCGCTCCCTCCTGTACGTAACACCATGTAACTGAGCAGGTCAGACAGCGATATTATACCGATCACTTTATCTTCATCGTCAACAACGACAAGACGATGTACCTGTAAAAAAAGAAATCAAATATTTATTCAAAATTACCTTATACTCCCACTATCGAAATACTTAAGTTTAATAGTGTAATTTAATAATTATGAATTTTGATACTTATTCAAAAAATTATTTCATTTTTGTAAAATGTATTGATATTAAGTATCAGCGACATGTATCATGAATGAACAACACTATTTTAGGCAGCCGTAAAGCTCCGTACTTTAGTCACAATTATAGATCATAGATGGCACTATAAGTTCAATGTTTTAATAAAAAATGAAACATTTTTAGTTATTAAAAAACGTACTTCTGCCCTGACAATCCTCTTCATAATATCATATAAAGTCTCATCGAGTTTGCATTTGTAAACTCCTTCGAACCATTCATTTCTGTGTTTGTTCGCCTCTTTTATTGTAACGTCCAAGTTATTGTAAGTCCTTTTAGCTGCCAAATTCTGCAAAAAAAAATACATACATCAAAAAAATTCAAATGTAAACAATAACTTGTCAATAAAAAGGTAAATCAGTAAAATTACTGTTTGAATTAAAAAAAAGTTACCAATGTTACTAAACGTTACTAAAGTTACTGATGATCATAAAAGTCCTTATGGGTAGATAACTTACAATAACGTCAAATTTCGCGTAAATATCTTTAAGTCGTCCTTCACTATCAACGACTGGCAGCGCAGACACTCTTCTATTCACGAACTTGTGAAGTGCCTCTATGATCGTAGTGTCTTCTGTCGCTGTCTCTATATTATCCATTGTACCGATGTCAAGGTCGCGAACCAAACTATTCACGTATCTCGGCTTCGGTAGTTCATTGATCTGAATATACATATACTTAATGTTATTTTAAATAAAAAATCATATTAATCATACTAATATTATAAATGCGTAAGTTTAGATGGATGGATGGATGGATGGATGTTTGTTACGAGTTTGTAGCCTGTACGGCGGAACAGATTTTGATGGAATTTGGTACACATGTAGAGGTTAGTCTGGAAGAACACATAGGCTACTTTTTATCCCGGAAATAGTTACGGTTCCCGTGGGATGCATTAATTTCGTATTTTGATGTTTACTCGATAATTCTGCAACGGTTCAACGTATTGAAATTTGGTACAGATATAAAATAAAGTCTGGAGTACACATGGGATAAGGTTCCCCCCGAAAAATGTCCAGTTCCCAAGGGACACGTTATTTACATAGTTCGTCTGTTTTCCAATACCACGCGGACGAAGTCGTGGGCAACAGCTAGTAAACATATATTTTTTAATATAATGTACCCAGGAAAATGTAAAAAAACGCGCCATTTTTTTTTGCATCCATTAGAAAGTGGTAAATAAGTAAGCCTTGTGTAAGCTCTTAACCCAAAATATAATTTTTTGGTTAGGATATAGAATTAAGTAATTGAGGTATGACATTTCATATATTCGACAATAATTTCTCATCTCTGGAATTTCGTTAGCAGTTATTTTAAAAATTAAATTATTTTGGACCCTCCTTTGATAAAAAATAGAACAGACTTTCACCTTCGAAATAGTCTTTACATTAAGAAAAGCTATAGCACAAAACAAAAATTCGCTTGCAAACAATGATTAAAATGAGTAGTTTTTATTTATAAAAGAACGTCCAAACATTTAGCTCCGACGACACCCATTGTTCTTATAAGATAATGGTTCGCAAAAGCCTCGTCTAGTTTTTGAATAACCCTGTTTATTCACTTTAAAAAGATAATACACTCTGTACTGCGGTTATTTGCGTTTGACATTGCAAACGCCTGCAGTTGATTAGTTATTACACTGCGGCGAACCGCAACCGCATATTTCGTTTACAAAGATTATTAAACAACTATAAAGCCTACGGAGTATTAATCCGCCATTAGGCATCTAACACACTGACATAAGAAAGCCAACAAAAAACATTTAGAGCGGGCGCACACTTTTGATTAAAATATCGCATAACAGTTGTGCGATTGTCAATTGTTTCTCAGTAAATTCAGCTGTTTAGTTGTCCATATAAGGTCATAGGAATCAAAACGAGACTAAACAGTTTTGCGATAGTCTACTCAAATGTTAGAAATATTAGACTCAGAATCAAACGAAATACAAAGTACCATATAAATATGATGATATATAAATATGGTATAGCGAAACTAAAACAAAACCAATTTTATTTCGCGTTCATTCTTTGTGACACCTACCATAGTTATTCTGAATAATTCGCTGACTCGATAGTATCACGTTTCGTATATTGTTATACGAGCATTACGATTGACTAACATTACTAAAAATTACTTACGTATAAGAACAGAAATCGGAGTATCCGCTTATGTGTTATGATGTACAACACATCGCCGGTCATAGGATCGATTACTGGCAGACGATGTATTTTATTGTTTATAATAGTGTAAATAGCATCGTATAGAGAATCGTCCGGCGTTATAGAGACGAGCGGCTTGTCAAGATCGTTTAGTAGATCTGAAAATTAAAATAAACAAATAAACAAATAAACAAAAACTCGACAACTTAATTTTAACACATAAATATAAAGCAACGTTAAATACATGTAAAAAACTACGTTCAATAAAAAAAAAACACCATCATCATCATCATCTTCCCCCTTATCCTACCCCCTTAAAGACAGCACAACAAGTTTTTGTCAACCAAATAACTTTATCATCCGTCATATCAGATATTCCTTATTCTTTCCACCCTTTTTTATACGAAAAGGATGCGAAAGGAACGAGGACTTGACGGTGTCGATGACGAATAGGAAGGAAAAAATCATCTTTATGTGCGTCTCCTCCTTTGTCTACTAAGGATAGGTAACGCATCCGCTATTGCGAAGGACTATGGGACTAGCGGTCGCTTCGCCATTTTGGCAGATTCAGGTGGCCGCTTACTCGTTTGCCACCTTATGATATATAAAAAAAATAAAATACAAATATCAAAGTTTTTCTATTTCTAAGTCGTACATACTGCGCCAAGTGTACAAGCTATGGTTCTCTAACTCCTCCATAGCGACGCCGGAGTGCATGTAGTTCATTTGCAAGATCTTAATGAAATCAGTGATCGTAAGCATGCCAACGAATTTTCCCTTCTGACTGTCCCAAAGAGGTGCCGCTCGAACGCCTGTTAACAAAATTCACACTTGTAAAATGTATAAATCTATAAAATACATACGCGGTCATTGTTACCAAAACAAAGTAAAGAGTTACATCTGATCTGAGATGGAATTCTTTTCTTCGGAAGGGCCGAAAATTGTGTTACAAAAACGAGGTACAGTTTTGAAAAACAAAAGCACAACTCGCCATAGCTATTATTCTTGTCTGTTATTATTTCCTGTTTTCCATATTTTTATTTTAAATTGTCAATAACAGTACAAGTCCTAATTCATGTAAAATCGCAATAAATTGGCAAATCAAATGAATAAAGAAAATCATATTTTTAAAGTTTTAGCAACATAAAAAATAAACATTATTTCCATTAAGCAATAATAATAATTAAATACCGATACTAATTATTAACGTAAACATGAATTTCGCTAAGCAAATCTTTCTATAACGAAATAATAAATTTAAAATTAATACTTTGGACATTTCACGCACGTAATTAAAAAAGCGAAATACAATTAAATTACTAGACATTATTTAATCTGCGATGTCTATGAAGATATCAATCTGAAATAAAATCAATTCTTAAAAACTATCGCGTCACAAAAAGCCTCACTTCACACTCATTTAACATTCATTTGACCTGGGTTTTTTTAACTTCTTACAAATTCGCATTGGATCAATCATTGTCGCAAATTTCCATACCAATATAATCGGTACAAACTTATTTACATCGTACGATATTTCGTCTCATGGAAATTCTGAGAACTTGACACATGATACCTTTCTTCTTGTGAAATCATGTTATAAAAATGTATGTTGTCATTTGATGTCTGCAGCGACATTTTAAAAACATTTAGGTACAATGACAGATAGCCACATTTTTTAAACATCATGATGTGAACTGTTCAATATTTTGTCCGCTTTTTACAATGTAGATGGCAGCAGCAGCTTAGCAAAGCGCAGGCGTGTCTCAGCGGCAGAGAAAATTATTTATATAATTACATACACATTTAGGGACGTTTATAATTGATCCATTGTAGTCACAGTCACTGACCATTGCTGACGAGAGCGAAGAACGCCTTCTTCGCGAGGAGCTGGATGTCGAAGACGACGAGCTTGGCGGACGTTGGTATCAAGTCGTAGCACTGGTGGAAACGGAAGAACTTCACGAAGATCTGCGAATCATCTCTCGCTGGAATTACACAAAAAATACGCAATTAATCATTTTTTTAATCAACAAGCTTTCGCTCGTGGTCCTGTCCGCGTGGAATTTAAAAACACAAAAGTTAGTTGCCTATGTGTTCTTCCAGACTATCCTCTACATCGAAACTAAATTTCATTGAAATCCGTTCTGCCGTTTAGGCTACAAACTCTAACAAACATCCATCCATCCATCTAAACATCCGCATTAATAATATTAGTGTGGTAGTTAAAATAATTATTTAATCGCCGATCGATTAATTATTAATAATGAATAGATATTACAAACAAAAAAGATTTGTATTTTTGTACGTATTGAATAACTCAAAAACTACTGGGCGGATTTCAAAAAAAATTTCACCAGTAAAAGGCAACATTTTCAGTGAGTCGCACAGGCTATAACATTTTATTGTTATTTTTTATTTCACGCGGACGAACTCGCGAGCAATAGCTAGTTAATAATAAGAAACGAGAGAGATGTGCTCAGATTGCGCCAAATGGAAGACCGCACTCTATCTATTCCACTGGGTTACAGGCATGAGTGTTGTTTTTATAATTAATTAATGGTTAAATACATAATTAGTTACTAATTATGTCAATTAACAACCAATTAATAATTAATTAACTAATCGATTAATAAATTTCTTAATAAAATATAGATCTCTAAATTATTGTATCCGTCGAAAAGGCCATTACAATCACACTGAGTCAAGTTAATTTCTTAAAACTGTGTATATGAAGGTAATCAGCTTCTACATAAATTAAAGGTATAATTACATAAACAAGTTACATTTTTAAATTTTTAAAAAGTATTTTGATGGTTTGATAAAATTTGTACATTGATAGTGATTCTATGTAAACTGTCAGATAGAACAATATTGAATGATGACCTAAAAAGAACTGATCTATTGTAGACTGCGCTTTATTCTAAAAGTTCTTCAGTGAACGTTTTCACGGCCGGCGCGCGATTCGCATCAGTCCATTAGAAACATATATACCGACGATTTGATGTTTGTTTATTTACGTTCCGCACCTAGCGGCTTGTTACGCAAGTATTGGAGGCCATTCTATGATGTCACAAGGATCCTCGCATGACGTACCGCAGCTCTTACACTAACAATCTTTTCAAAGTGGAAATCAAACAAATTGTTAATTTAGTTTGCATACATAAATAAATATCGCGCACCTAAATTTATAATGGATATGAATAGTAAATAATGTATCACTTGTATTAGTAATGTCGTATCGTTACTATTACCAACTTAACAACCCGTATAAAATGTTTGAAATCGTTTATTCTATACATGATAAATATTGCTATAAAAAACTGATTACTACAATCTTCTGTGCACTTATACAAAGCGACCTAAATATCATTTGGAATCGCACAACAATTATGACGTATGTACGTTTGTCGACGTACGAAGAGAATGAAAACAAACGAGCGGTGTTAGCGTGGGTGAAATAAACATGCCGGCACCTTTGAGGAGCCAATCGTCGAGGAAGGCTTTCCACGCGCGGCCGACCGCTTCGAACTCCTTGATGAGGTCGATCGAATAGACGGACTCCTCGTCTTCGGCGGTGGCGAGGGCGGGATGGTCCGAGAAGTAGTGTAGGCGCAGCATGCGCGGGCTCGGGGCGTCACATCGCCCGCTTGCCGCTTTCACTCACTGTTAATACTACTCGAGGGCGAGCATGGTGTTGCGTGGTGGTGTTCGTGCAAAGTAGCGCGCAACGCCGACGCCGCCGCCGGCACTACTGGCTCGACTCTGGTGCGCAGCCGCACCGACACGTCGAACTAAATATAAAACTTGCCGTCCCGAAATAAATATCGCCGACCAACAGCTGGCCTAACCACAACACGGGTGAAACTCCCAAACACCACAACACTGCTCCCGTAATCATTTCGCCGCAAAAGCAAAACACTACAATATGTTCAATACCTCCAAAATTTATCTAAAGTACCTATAAAACTATCATTCCTATCAACGAATTTATCAAATTATATTGACGACAGTCAACTCTAACAACTTAAATCAATGAGCTTTTTTATATCAAAACAATCACTCTCATTCGAGACGTTCGATAAAAATGCTACGACGACACACATAAAAAATAACAGAAACATCAATAGATTTATTTACTCGTTTAGTGTTTAGATACTATTTGTGTATATTAATAGATGCAGTTTAAATGCGCCTTCAAATTCTATTATAACCTTTAATCCATAACCGCACTATTTCCACAAACGACTGAAGGGGAAAAATATTTTAAAAATTTTAAGCGAGTTTTTTTTTTCATTCACTAATACACGGCTTCCGACTACCAATTAATTTGTACATTGAGTACATACAGATTCGCAACCAGCAAAGGGAATCAAATCAATATTTGTTGAGTCTGTCAATCAAACAACTATATGCCAGTTAGAAATCAGTAAATGTTTGCATTGCTTTCAATATTCAAAAACGTTTCTATGCAGAGATAAACTTTATCACAAAAGTACCTATATTTATTATAATTATAAAATATGCAGTAACACCCATAATAACGTTTAACTTCTAACCAAATAGGTGACTTTAATTAGGGTAGACGCCAGAAGACCTTGCTCACCACCTTTGTTCGCTCGCCCGATGCAATACCACAAACGCAAAGTAGCTGAGCGTGAAGTAAAATCAATTCCGCGTGTCGTCCATTAAGTGTGAGTACCAGAGCGGAGGCTTAATTTAGTCACATTTTCTTCCCACTACTTTTATTATAAGAAAAATATGGAAAGGGGAAGTGTATTTAACCGTGAAGACAGCGGTCATTTCAATCTTAAGGCGAATTCTTGCGACTCCCCGTTCATCGCTACGATAATATAATATAATAATTATAAAAATTGGCATTATTGGCAGCATGGCAGGAGGTTCCTGTCTCTGCACCCTGACCATTGGTTGCGTGGTGCTCTATTTTTTATATAGCCTGTTTTATTTCATTTTTATAAAAATCTTGAAAAATATATTACGAGTAGAAACAAAGTAAGGAATAAAGTTATATCATAATTTAAAAACAAAATTGCAGATTTAGTTCGTAAGCAATTCGGGCACACATCTTGTATACGTACATACGAATTGGTAGCAAAAACATTAATGAAATAAAAATAAAAACAAAAAAAAAGGTCGTACAAGAAATAAATGTCATCAATAGTTCGGAACATCGTTCAATCTATGTCAGATGTTCTATTTATTACGAGACCTAACAGCTTAATATACGCACCGATGCATCTAGGCTAGAAACATTTATAGCCACGTCTGACTACGTCTATACTGTGCAAATCTTACTTGACACTGATACCATACCGTTCTAATTGTTAAGAGATAGATCATAGAGAAAAAAAAGTTAAGGCTAAGCTATAAGGGGCTTGGTCATGATAGTAGGGACTAGAGTCTCGAGTCTTTGAAAAATACAATATACCTACCAACATTATTACGAAATTAAAAAAAAATATGTTACGCCTACAGCAAGGTACTGAAATAATTCTTTAAGAATACATTACAAGCACTAGTATAATGCAATTAAAAATGCAATACACGCCACATCTCACGAAGACATAGATTAAACACGAAAAGTTTCAAAAAGAAAAAATATCTAACTAATGTTAAAGAACGTTTTAATTAAATTTGATAACAAGTTATCGCTCACGATTTACAAATATAAATCTAATGATATATTACTCACTCACATAAAACACCTTCATAGTATCGTAACATCTTTGCCCGCACACAATCAAGACGTTTGGAAAAAAGTCATAGGTTCATTATGAAAAAAATTACGACTCACTGAACAATAAAACACCACTACACCACAATCATGGCAACCGTTAAATTTTATATGACTGACTTGACAATACACAGGCAATGATAAAACTCTCTTATCTTTAGTGATAAAACATTAAAAATACCAATATGATCAATAATGCGTTAATGCAATGTAATACAGCACATTTTTATAATTAGTGGATTACATTTCAAGAGTTGGGTTGAAAAAGTCGATTGATACCGCGAATTTTAACTGTCGTTACACACAATTAAGATCATTGTTGTAATCTTTGGTCATTTCAAAGAAAATGAGAGGTGGCGATATTGCAACTCCGTTGTAACAATACAACTTTGTCTGAGAAAATATACAAATGATACATTTGATATTAAAATATATACTTTATCAACAATAATAGTAAGATACTAACTTGTAACTTGCGTGAATTGGCTAAATGATAAGAAAGAGGGAAGGAAAAGTAGTTGTGAGTGGAAAAAACTAACTTTTTTATATTATAAGATGGCAAAACGAGCATGCGACTACCTGAAGTAAACGCTGCCCATAGACATCCGCTATTGCAGATAAGCCTACTTTTAAGCGACGGAAAATAAGTTTTTAGACTTAAAACGCTAGTTAATTAGTAATTGAAATTACTGTCACTTCTAAATACACTTACTTGCGCCACTGGGATCCAATTTTTCTATAAAAGGGTCTGCCACGGGTAACTGCAAATAATAAACAACATTTAATAAGGTAGCGTTTTAGTAAATTCTATCGTCCTGAAACATGCTGAAAAAATTTAAATGTATATATTTTCATTTTCCTTTCATCTATACTAATATTTTAAAGAAGAAAGATTTATATTTTTGTATGTATTAAAATGACTCAAAAACTACTGGGACGATTTTAAAAATTCTTTCACGGTTAGAAAGATAATTTATCTAAGAGTAGCTACATTTTTTTATCAATTTTAGTTTCACATGGATCAAGGTGTGAGCTACGGCTAGTAAATAATTAGAGAAATAAAACAAAACTTAATCTGACTGATAATCTATTTATCCAGATTAACAATGTTATCAAACTATAAATAACCACATCTCCTGCATTTACGTGAAGTAATAAACTCAACACGATAAGTTTCAATTAGAAACTTTAAAGTTCGATTTATTCCACTTGCAAACACCGTTTTTAAATTAAACCTTTTAGAATAAAAAGTAATAAACAGATTGGACGCTGAATATTAAATGTGTCCGTCCTGGGTATAATATAATACTTTTAAGGTAAACTTCTGTGCTTAATAACTTCGGAAGTCAAGATTTTAGTAATTCAAATGTGTAGCTCAGTAAGTGTTCTATATTGAAGATAACTCACCCCCCTCGCGTCTCGGAACAGCATCGCGGCGCGTTCTGGGTCAATGAGTGCATTGGAGCCGCGATGACGACCTGGTCGAGAACAATTATCAAGTGAAGAACGTCTTTTTGCAGCCTCCTGAGCCCTCTCTCGGCGTAATTCCACACCTGTTAACAAAGAAAAGGTACCAGGTCAAGCGACAGTTTACTTGTAATAAAGTGAGATACTCGTATACAAACTTAAGGTGCACATAATTCAGTGACGAATGCGGAATAAAAAATAAGATAAAAGTAAGTAAAAGGAATTTTACTACACATGGTAGTTAGATTAGTTCAAAATAAACGTCAAGGTTTTCGAATAGTAAACTCCGTCTTAATCCCATTATCGGCTATCAGAAACCTATTCGTGACATATTTTGGTCGCGTATTTTACCGAACTGTATATACATTCAGGTGCAATTAAGTTTTAAGGAGTTGAAATCATTCAATTTATGTGACGTTTGTTATACATTTTTGTAATGTACTGTGCATTATACATTACATGCTTTGTAAATGTATAATAAATTTACAGTTGTATTTTTTCTCCAGAAATTTGTACAAATGTTCGATTTCAAAAATACTCGTATGTATTCAGGATTTCTCCAATAACGCATTCATCGTCGGAAACCAAAGTATGGTAATGGCAGAGAATAAATTTATTTAGCAAACTCTTTCATATTAATGTATTCGGTTTATGTACACTGAAACTGTTCTAGATAAAGTTTGATAGTTGTAAAGGTGTAAAAAGATTTAGACTTGATTATGAAAGTAACATAGGAACATTTGTTTCATTACTTTCGTAATCAAGATTGTAAAATTCGAATGAAAATTAACAATCGACATGATGAAAATCCACAAGCTCAAAATAAATAGACAGACATCGTTGTCTTCAACTGTTTTGTTATAATTAAAAAAAACAATTAAGGTCATATTAATATATCTCCTTTTATTTAATCGGTTAAATAAAAAAATCTCAAACTAATAAACAATGTCAAATATAAAAATGTCATTAAAACGATTAGCTGGAACGTTAAATGTCGTTGCTCAGACGATCTTGCACCTAATTGGGTTAATTTAATATTTCAATTTAGCACTACCCGCGAGCACGTCTTATGCTAGGTGCCTGAAGTTTCCATTTATTTTATCATTACCTAGTGATTCATTAGTGTTAGGATGAACTAACTTTCAAAGGCGTAAAACTCAGGTAGTTCGGAAACACAAATTACGCAGTTATAAAACCAAAAGCACTAACGAATGGTTAAAAATACCTGGGAAACCGGTCATTAGTGAATCTGATTTAAATTAACGGACCATTACATTGCATGTAAAATTTTGAATTAACGGATTTATGACCTCAAGAACACACTTGAAAATATTCTATTAGTTCGAGTAAGAATGTCAATTCAAGTAAGAATATCTATAAAAAAAAAACCCTATAAAGATCGTTTAGTTAAGACCGATTCAGATTTAAGAGTAATAATGCAAAATGCACGTATCATCAAAAGTTTCATTTAATTACGATAATAGCAAAAATAAACAATGACATTCAAGGTTGTAATATTATTTCTTATACACATTGTCCTTTCCTACCTTTCTTTGCAAATCATATTAGAACATATCCTCGTAGATTTAATGGTGGGTTTTCACTGCTAATCGCCCTCCTCAAAAATCTTAGTATTGTCTCAGCTTTTTCATTTAGAAAAAAAGGAATGAAAAGATATTTTGTATGAGTGTTTACAGTTTATAACAGCGCCTCTCCTTCCAGACCTAGTTATATTTGTGAATTCTAGCTACGAAACTTCTACGAAACGTTAAAATTCAATCTAAATAACAGCTGAATACTATGAATGTATACATTTTTACCAGCAAAATGTTCAACCGATTTTTATTAAATTGACTTGGTCTTTGATATGTAAATGGACCTCGGTGCAGAATTGATTGAACAAAATCTAGTGTGAAGTGCCCGATATTTTTCCATCAATTTGCGACAATCCGATACTGCACCGAGCACGTGCACATAATTAAATAAAAATGTAAATAAAGCTTGTACCTTTTGTACGGAGGGTTGAAAACTAATGGATTTTAAAACTATTATTTAAAAACAACTGTCAAAGTTACAAACTTCGTTCTAGCATGGAGTTAATTGTAATTAAAATATGTGATGTTCTATAGTAATATTCCAATCAGGAATATTTACTTCCACCGCTTTAGACACTGAAAACCTCAAGTTCCAATGACTTGAGAAGTTGAATTTTGTATTTTACTCCCTATGTACATATATGCCGAAAGTTAGACTTTTAAAATAAAGTAATAATATTTTATTTTGAAATAATTGACAAGAATAGGAAATCCTTCAGCCCGGCAATTCGGACAACCTGACATCACACAGAAGGTTATGTTAATATGAACAATCATCCTTCGATCACATTACTATTAACATTAGGTGAAATCTTAGTCAAGTACTTGTTTATACTATTATAAAAAAGGACTTTTGGACTAATAAAACACAATGGTTTCGCGATCGTGACGCGAGGTCTTACAATATATGTTCATATATAACATGATCATGACTGGAGTGACGACTGTGCTGACGGAAGATCGATCTAGAGGACAAAAACCAGCACCGACCCTATGTGAGTGGAATAAGAGTTATGATGAATACGTGCTATCTACAGGTTAACATATAACCCACAACGATTAAGATGGAGGTTATAAGTTATAGGATATTACGTACATTTTGGTGGTTTAAAACAACGTGTAGCCATCCTAAGCAATTTTATACTAGGAAACTTTAACTCTGTTATCCACCAGAGATTTGGTAGGTAGGTTAGGTATTTGCCTACTTGCGCGGTTAGTATCAAATATTGCAATAGAAAATACATGAAATGTTAAGGAAAAAGCGTTACTAATACCAAATTTCTGTGATATATCTAAATAGAATTGGACGTCCTACTAACAAAACGTGTGTCTAATGACCTTGCTACTATATTGTATCCGCTTAAGCGTTAGATATAATTAGTCTGAAGTTATTTTCAATTAAAAGTAGAAATAGATTGACGGAAGAAATTAATACCACAAACAGTCTAAATTAGAAAATTAATTTTGTAAATATAGATTCATATATTGTATTTGAGATGTAAATAAGTGTAACCTTACAACAAGCGTAATATAACGAATATGACCTCTGTTTAATGTAATAACAAAGAGAAGGATGTAATTTATTACTGAACAGTCGTGATACCCCAACTGCTATATAAAAGAAAAAACATTCTTTTAAATTCATATTAATACTAGTAATACTAGTAATACTCGGAAAACTGTATCACATTTTTCTTCTAATTCATCTAACATACATTAAATTTACAAATATTAACACACTTTTATGCGAAAACGATTAAAAAATCATCTGAAAAACAAACAAACCAGATCCAAATCGACAATTAAACTAAATTACCTTTTTGGATGATAGCGTCAAAAATTCGATAAGTTGCACCACAATCATCAAGTATAGGATGCCGTTTTATACTATGCAAGTGATCGGGATCGAGTGATTTGGATCTGCCACGGACGTCTTCTTTGATACGGACATCCGAGGTTGTGGCTGGCACTGCGCAAGAGCTGCGTCTTACAGTCGAGTCATGCCTCCAGCTCCCCATTTTTTTACCAAATGATCGTATCAAATCTTGTATAGAGTGGTGTTTGTTTTTACTACCACTGCCACCTGATTCACGCCTCTCGCGTGTACCAGTGTTACTTTTAGGAGACTTCGAGCACTCGATCAACTGTTTTGCAAAACCTTTTTTATCGAACCGGTCCGCATAAGGACGGTGGTCCAGTTTGTCGGTGCTAATATCTCCATACAATTCACATTTGTTGTAATCATTTTCTTGTATATCATCCATCACTTCATTATATAGTGGTGAAATGAAATGTTTATAATCATGTTTCGGTGCTGAACTAGGACCAGGCAAATCGAAGTTGGTTCGGTTAGGACTCTGGGATCGAGATAACGAATAACGTCGATTGTGAACAGGTAAAGCTCGAGCCTCTTCTTGCCACGGTGGACTATCTGCTAATTCTTGCGGTGAGTGTCCCAAGCTTCGTTGGCCGCTATTCCTCCTTTGAGAAATTGAAATCCTTTTCGACTGTTTGTCATTTTGCACAGATCCTCGGGAGCTCCCAGCCTTTGGCGAGGTAGATATGTTTTCGTCGCCTTCTTTGGTTGGAGTTGACTCACGAGAACTTTTTTTTAGTTTTTGAAGACAGTTTGCAAATCCGTGCATTGTCTCTAACTACCTATCGATATCTAAAACGTATTAACTAATCTGCACTTATCACGTACATTCGTAACTGTTAATCGAATCTCGGTAATTGAAACACTTAAAAAACTAATGTAAGAAACAAGCAGAAAGTTAGATAGTTAGTAGTAGCAGGAAGTTATATATCAAACTTAAAGTTGAAAATCAAAAAAATATTTCTTTCACCCCGAGGTCTCGTATTAACGACACAGATTTGGCAGCTTATAACGCAACAGCTTATTAAGCATCTATAAATAAACAAAGATACCTAATCTTGTTAATCAACAAACATCATACAAGCGGTACGGAGTGTATTAATGTCTAATAAATATCGTAATAATATCGAACATTAGGATTTAATTTTATAAGACAAAATGTTTTGAAGACTTTCGATGCGATATTTTACCACGATAAATATTCATCGGATCTTAATAGTTACATAGAATTTATTATCGCTACTTGCGCAGTTATTTGGGGGAGCATTTTAGGCCAACTCATGAATCGAGCCGCCATTGTTTATTCGGATGTTCAAGGTCAACGTGTCCTATTTAAGGAGTGCATTTACGTAGTTAACAGGGAAGTTGCAGACGACCTTGAAACGAAATGCCGACTATAGGTAAGTACCTTAGTTTTACAAATTGTACGTGCACATTGACATAAGCTAAAACTTATTTAGTTGTTATGTAGGTAAACCTAAAGGTAAACCTACATAACAACTAAAAGATGTAATTTGATATTCTTGCATCCATCACGTACAGTATCTTACTGGGAATTTGAACTATCCTAACACCTGGATATTATTACATTATTATCTCTGATACTAAAGAGGAA